CTCCCTCAGCTGAATGACTGACACACACACAGGAAAGGGCCGAGCCCCGCAGCCCGAGGAGCACTGGGACTGCGGGGAGGAGTAGGACACTGCTGGGGGTTGGGGCGGAGAAAGGGGGCCTGCCCCCTCTCCCAGCTGGGCACAGTGCGGGAAGGAGTAAGAGGTTCTGGGCCTTCGCCGTGCGGCACAGTGGGAAGAGGAGCCTCTCCGAGGGGCCACCCTGGGGGAGAAAGATACAAGCCGGCGTAATGTAGATTTTACAGCGGCCTGTCTCAGGCCCACCCCCCGTGGGGCCCTTTGCTAACCCAGCCCTGCTAACTAGTGCCACAGAAATTGGGCTTCCCAAAGTCAGGGAAGGCGGGAAACGGACACTTGCCTGCCACCAAAGTTATAAAAATCCTCAGCCCAACAATAAAAAGTCGATTAAAACAAATCACTGGGAAGACTGCAAGGGGGCAGGTGTTTCAGTCTGCAGGGGAGTGAGCCCTTACCCAACAGGAGCATGCTCAATGCAGCTTGGACAATCCTCCAGCCAACAGGCCCACATTAAGGGAAGCCTTCCCCAGGCTACTGGCAAGAGGAGAAATTAGCCTCTCTTACTTTTGGAGGAGAGGGTAGGAGCTGCTGTTTTATCCCTTCCTACCCACTCACATAGCATTATTCTGCATCTCTCTGTACTGCAGCAAGGATCCATTCCTTACCTCCTTGTTTTTCACCTGCTCCTCTCCCATATTTTCCCTCCCCTACAGGCGTGGCATCCTAACCTTCTCCTTTTCTGTCCAGGGCCGGCCCGAGCCATTCCGGTTCCCCGGGTAGACAGTTTAATTGCGCCCCAGGTTGGGGGAGGGCACATGCACGGCCCTGCCCCCGCCCAGCATGTGGGGGAGGGCACGCGGAGCTGGCAGCAACAGGACACACATGCCCAGCCCGGCTATCGCCATTGGCGCACCGCCAGGGGTGGGCCGAGTCTGGCCGTGTAGGGCCCCACAGCCGCAGGGGGAAAGGGCGCTGCTGGCCGGCGCTGCGGGGTTTAACGCGGCCCCCCCGCCCCAGGCGACCGCTGCAGGGTGGCCGCTGGGAGCTGCTGCAGTCCAGGATCCAGGTGCCTCCCCATAGGTTGGCGCCCTGGGCAGCAGCCTGGCCAGCCCTTGCCTTAATCCAGCCAGCCCATGCCTTAATCCTGCCCTGCCTTTAGGCATTTCTACTGCACCCTGTATTGCCATGTCTTCTGGCTGTCCAGTTAGCATGGAAAGTGAGATGATTTTTCTTAAAGACAACATTTCTTCAATCTCTTTTTCAAAAGTGAAAGTAACTTAAAAATTTCTTACAGGTACTGTCCTATTGCAACCTGGGATCTTGCCAGCTCTTTAAATAGTTTTTGCCACAGCTCAGTCAGCTCTTGCCAGAGCTTCACACCAGGGCATACACCCTTACTTTCCCCACTGCACATTTTAAAAACGATAGGCAATGGCTACCATCTTTGTTACGGAAAGACCCTCATAACTAAACCTACAAAAATTGACAGGACTCAAAGGTAATTGCAGAATGTGAAACTACTTTTACATCATTTTTTAAAACTTAAAAGTTTTCAAGTTTAAAGCAAGTCTTCAGATGAATACTGATTATTTTAATTTCAGGAATGCTTAAATATTTACACAGGCAATAATTAAATCAGACTACAGAGAACTGCCAAGTAAATTATTAATTCTTCATTAATGTAATCATTCTGGATTTAAACTGGTTAATCTGATTTTGGCTAGTGGTCTTTCTTCCAAACTGGCCCATAAAGAGAAATAGTTGCACTTTGTGCTGTACAGTATATATAAAAACAAAACAAAACCCTCATGATTTCCTGACAGAACTTCCATTGCTTTGACTTTGCATAATCATGAAAACGGAAGTTAAAACATTAAAAAATAAAAACATAACACTGGAAAAGCAGAAGAAAACAAAAACAGTTTTTTCAGCCTTTATCTGTGATGTATCAAAGAAAAAACTTTAAGAATTATAGTCTCCAAGATCATTCAACCTGACAACAAATTAATTCTGTATGGCTGTGTCTACACTGGCCCCTTCTTCGGAAGAGGCATGCTAATTTCTAACTTTGGAATAGGGAAATCCGCGGGGGATTTAAATCCCCCCCGCGGGATTTAAATAAACAGGGCCGCCGCTTCAGGTAGGAATAAGAGATCCTCCGGAAAAGGGCTTTATTCCGGAGGATTGCGCCAGTCTGGATGCTCTTTTCCGGCTTTTCCCCGAGCCAGAAAAAAAGCGGCGGCCATGTTTATTTAAATCCCGCCGGGGGGATTTAAATCCCCCGCGGATTTCCCTATTCCAACCTGAGGTAGGAATAAGAGATCCTCCGGAAAAGGGCTTTATTCCGGAGGATTGCGCCAGTCTGGATGCTCTTTTCCGGCTTTTCCCCGAGCCAGAAAAAAAGCGGCGGCCATGTTTATTTAAATCCCGCCGGGGGGATTTAAATCCCCCGCGGATTTCCCTATTCCAAAGTTAGAAATTAGCATTCCTCTTCAGAAGAAGGGGCCAGTCTAGACGTAGCCTATGGTTTTAAGCCCAGTAGCCTGGTGATCAACCATCACCAATTCTTTTGGCATTAATTGTTCACATCAAATATTTTCCAGACTAATTTTATTTTTCATATTGTTGAGTACTCTAAAAGTTTATACCACATTTAGTAGGTTAAAATAATAAATCAGAGCTGAGATTAAATAAAGGTACAAATCAGAGGCAAGAATTGAAAAAAAAATGGATGAGAGAGGGAGTTGGAGGGAGATGCACCAGAGCTGGAATTAAAAGAACATTTTCCTGCCATTTCTCACCACAAAAGATGAGAAGTGCTTATTGTCAGGCCCATTACTACTTGTCCTATCTTCACCAGACAATGAGAACAATTAAACACAATCTTCTTTATACCGCCTTGCATATCTGAAACCTGTTATCAGGTCTCACCTCAGTCTTCTTCTCTCAAGATTAAACATGCACAGATATTTTAAGCTTTCTTCACAAGCCCGCTATTCCAAATCTTTCACTGTTTTTTGTTGCTCTTCTCTAGACTCTTTCCAATTTGTCCACATATTTTCTTAAAATGTGGCACACAGAACTGGATACAGTATTCCAGTTGTTGAGGCAAAACAGAGCAGGAAAATTATCTCTCATGTCTTACATATAACACTCTTGTTAATATACCTATTATAACCTGAGGGGAGGGCAAGAACCTAGAGCAGGGGTATTCTAGGCTGCCTATGCTTCCACATCACTATTGGAAGGGCCAGGTTGCCAGTAGAGAAGTCTGTGACGCTAAACCTTTTTAAACCGCGGACCGGCAAACACACTGACAAACTTTGTGTGGACCGGTAAAATTTTATTTGCATACATGCACACCCATTATGCAAATAATATATATGCAAATAAAATGTTATCAGCAGGTGGCTGCTGCAGCTGAAACTGGCTGTTCATGGAGGCTTGGGGGCCGGGGCTGGGGTATACCCCAACCCCTGTGCCCTCCAGTGCCAGCCCCAACCCCTAAAGCCCCCCCACTCCTCCAATACCCCCAAGCACTAGCCACTGATCCCAGAGTCCCCTGCACCCAACTTTCCCAGTGCCAGCCTCCCACCCTCAGAGCTCCCCAGTGCCAGCCCCCGCCCCTTAGAGCACCACCACCACCAGACCTCTCCAGTGCCAGCCTCCTGTTTCTAGAGCCCCACTGCACTCAACCCCTCAGAATACCCCCGTGCCAGCCCCCAGTCCCCAATGTCAGCCCTGTCCCCAGAGCTCCCCAGTGCCAGCCCTGCCCCTGTAGCTCCTCCACTACTATCCCTGCACTCAGAGCCCCCCAGTGCCAGCTCCCCACCTTGGATGCCCGAGAGCTGCCCAGTGCCAGCCTTCTGCCCCTTAGAGCCCCCAACACCAGCCCCGCCCCCAGAGTTCCCACTGCCTGCTCCACCCTGCATGCCTCCCAGCTGAGCACTGCTGCCCAGGTCACCGCTGTTCTAAGGCTGCCATGCAGGGCTCTGCACAGTCCTCCTTCTGCGCAGCAAACCACTCATCTGCATCCAGGAGGAGCTCTCACCCCTGCCGGGTGTTGGCTGGCTGAAAGGCGGGGTAGGGTATTCCTTTCCCAACAGCCACGACAAGAGAGGAGACGTTGGGCAGTGTACCTCAGCACTGGCCCCCTGAGCCACTGCGGCCCATCAGCCAGCAGTTTGTGGCCCAACACTGGGCTGTAGACTGGTGGCTGAAACTGCTGAGCTAAACAATGTAGGAAGTACCATCCAGCAGGACCTCAGTGATAACCCCCCATAGACTACTGACTGGCCTGCGCTGCTATAGAAAGCAGGAAACCATCATATGTAGTTGTCCATGCAATGACACAGACTATTTGCTTGCTTTTGCTCCAGACCTTTCCTCACTGTAAAACCTAGTCTCTGGCTTCTGACTCTGATTTCTGTTAGTGGCCTGCAATCTGTCACCTGGTGGCAGCCTGACCCTGACCTCCTCTTATCCTGACTCAGTCCCCAGTTTTAGGGACAAGAGGCTCCTCCTCCTCGCCATTATGGTCTATTCCTCAGACACTGTGATCTGCTCCTCACTTTGTGTTGCATCTACAGTATACTGATTCCTGACTGAAATGGACAGGTGCCTGGGTGCGGTGTGGAGCATTGTCTACTGTCCCAGGGGGCCAGCCATTCTCCTTCCTCTAGACAAGCCAGTTTTCCTTCCTCCTCTGGTACCACTGTAGTTGTGTAGTGAGCACGTTATTTCCCTCCCTTTGTCAGTTCTTACTTCTAGGGTACCTGAAAATTAAGGAAATTCAAAATTTTATATCTCTGCTTTTCCTCTACTGGCAAACATCATTGGCTAACTCCCTAAGGCAGAGGTCCCCAGAGTGTGGGGTGCAACTGCTGGGGACCACGGAGAACTGTTTGGGGGGGAGCAGGGTCCTGTGCCAACCCCCAAGAAGGGTGAGGGAGGAGTGCCACACAACTCTACTCCCAGCTCTGGCTGCTGGTCCTGTACCTCAGGCCCCACTTCCAGCCCCTCACCTAGGGTCCCACCTCCAGGCTGTGGCCTCAGTTCCCAGTACTCTGCTTCCGGCTCTGTCCCCCAACTGTGGCCACAGTCTCAGTCCTCATATTCCTGTCCATGTCTCTCTGTCTCCTTCCTGCTGCCACAAACCTTATCAAGGTGTTCAGGGCTGTGAAAAATTTCATGTTCTAAGTACAGGCAGTCCCTGAGTTACGCGGATCCGACTTATGTCGGATCCGCAGTTACGAACGGGGCGTTCCTCTCCCTGGTCTCCAGCAGACCAGGGAGAGGAAGCAAAGCGGCGGAACACATGGGCAGCGGACAGGGCTGTCAGCTGGCAGGGAGCTCCACAGCTTGGCTCTGCTTTGCCCCCCGTCCCCCCCCGTCCCCCTGGTCTGCAGACCAGGGGGACGGGGGGGGACGGGGGGCAAAGCAGAGCCAAGCTGTGGAGCTCCCTGCCAGCTGACAGCCCTGTC